AACATTTAAAAGTATGTTTTTGATGTTAAAATATAAGTTAACTAATGATGCTAATCAAAAGCATTAACCATTACTACTACTTCGGAGTTTGTCTGAACTATTCAGTTATTCTGAAGACGTTAGGATGAATTTAGTGTGACAAACACTTCATCTAATATATAATCCACACAAGAGTTTATAGTACTATTGTGTATTTTAAAGGTTTTATTTGATGCAAAAATAATCTTGTTAATGATAACGATAAAAACAGTAATAGTTTAGTTCATATGACGTGAATTGTTTTCTATATTTTTTTTTTAGTGGCGATTATGTTGTGTTCGTGGTTTTGGCTTTTTACCTAATGATGAGCCATATATGACTTCATTAATAAAAATTTGAATAATCTTAGCATTAAGGTTAGGCGGAATTTGTTAATTCCGGTCCAAATGAACAGAGACCTTGAAATTTGGAGACCCTGTGATAGTTTAGATAATCTTGACATAGCCAAGAACTAGTTGATCAAAAATTCCCATCATTAAGATATAAAAAGCCTGTTTTCTTTTTTTAGATAGTAAACCTACTATGTAACTCATTTAGCTAAATTGACACTATAAAAGATTTAATGACTCATAAGATAAAAATAGAAATATCATATGGTAATTAAGTATAGAAATACACTGTTGTGCCATATCTAGGTGATCGCTAAATTTGTGACATGCATAAATAATTTTAAATGTAGCAGAATAAATCGAATTAATTTTAAATGTAGCAGAATAAATCGAATTAATTTAGGAAAAGAAGATGCTCATTATTCCAGATCATACTAGACCCTTTTCGCTATAATAAGGGGTTTCTGCACTGTTAATATCCAGTTAGGTCATTTGTTCATATGTCAAGTATATATATTGATATTAAATTAACCAAGTAAGGAATTTTAGAATTACAAATTATTTATTGAAATTATTTATTGAATTTATTGGAATTTCTATTAATGCTGGGAAATAGTGTCAGATTTTCATCGTCATTTCATATAAAATGACGCTACTTTTAGCTATCTTTAGTCAAACTTTACGATATTTAGTAAAGTATGTACACTCCAAATTATGCGTTAGCGACAATTGTATGCATGATTCTAAACTGATTATGATAATGAATTATAAATCATTGCGTTTATGAATTAAGGTTAATAAATTCTTATTACTATCCTGCCATTGTCTGCATACGCAACAATAAGTCCCGAAAAGAAAGATAATTGGTTGTGTATCAAGATATGGAATTTAATTTAGTACAAATTAAGGCACTTTGTTTTACAAAATGACTCTAATGACTCGGATGATCTGACGGTTTGGCCCGTAGATAGATTTGAGGACAAAGTTCTTAAAAAAAAGCATTTTATATTTTCTAGAACTCCTTTTTTTTTTTTTTTTTTTAGTAATTACCATTCGAATTGAGCATGTTATCATCTATATCATTGAGACATTTTTTGGATATTGTTATGATTGTTCTGATTGGAATGTGTAATAATGTGTAACTATCGATACCAAATTATTCAAATTTGAATCGAATTTATTCGTGGCAAGGTTTATTTCTTTTGGCAAATAATAATTTGCATAAAACTTTTGAGATGCACAATAGGTTTTATAAAGGTATTCTTGCATTTCATATTTGAGAAAATCTGTTCACTTTAACGGAGACAGAAATTATGCAATCGTCCGAGGGGTTACGCAGGGGATATGCGCCCCGAACTTTGGTGTTACGTAAGGGGTATGCTAAAACATTACACAAGATGAATACCCCCTAGATGTCGAATAGACAAAGGAAATTGTGAATTGAGTTGCTCATGATTGGCCCTTTTTAAAATACAACTTCCCCGTTACGGCAGTTACTCAGATAGGCAAGTCACGGGGCATAAGTTTCTATTTGTAGTAAGCCTGAAATAAAAATAGTTTCGAAAAAAGACTATGTATTGTTCTTTTCGAACCTATTTTTATTATAGGCTTACTACAGATAGAAACTTACATCCCGTGACTTACCTATCTAAGTAACTGCCGTAACAGGGAAGTTGTACTTTAAAAAGGCCCATTATAATAATGAATTTGCATTAAAAGTGTAACCAAGAAGAACCTGTGTTGAAATCGATCAAGAGAATTAACGTTAAGGTTTAAGTAAAATTATAAATTTTGCTGGAAGTTACCGGTAGGTTACCATATGGTAAATATCAAATTATATACTAAATGATATTAACTTCTGCTGCATTAATTAAAAATGATCTAGACAGAACCTTTGCAATTTAAATTTTTTGGTTACGTACATACGTACTGTACTGACTTATCAGAAAAGTTATAATTTTAAATTTGATGGTTATAGTTGATCGTAATTCTGTAGATCATCCGGCCCGACTTATCTTTCTGTTATCCTTTTACTTAATATTTTGGAGATGGTATATCTGTATAGTACAAACCAAATTTTAAAAACTGTATTATATACGGTTCGGAATTATAGAATTATGGTCGGTTAGTATAGTATGGCGGCATCCACAATATACGTTAAACTATTATTGTATTGTATATTGTATTGTATAAAAATAGGGAATGCCATATAGTATTATGTTTGTACGTATTATCTTTAAGATCCCTATGACAATACTGGTTTAACGTAAATTATGGATTCCGCCTATGTAGTTTTTAGATTCGTATTATACGGATCTGGATCCGGTCACCTATTCCACACTATTTCAACTAGGGTTAAACCAAAAAAATTTCAGATCATACGATTTAACAATCGCGATACGTATATCAATGATCATACGATGCTTATTAATAAAATTTTCATAAAAGCGAAAATATAATTAATTAACTACGTATTAAAATTTTTTTGAATATTTGATTGTTAATCACACGAACTGATTTTTTTAGGTGGCGATTTAACCCCGGTTTACTATTCTTATCGTTGTTCTGTTTTTATTTAAAGTCAGATTGGGTAGTTAGATTAGGTAGTTAGATTGGGTAGTAATAGCAGGACTGTCATTCGTAACTTCTGAACTTATGAAGTTATGTTTCTTGTGTACTATATAACATGATTCAATTCTAATAAATTCATGTTAATGAGGTTAATCTGTATAAAAATTTTTTAATTTCGGCCAAAATTAAAATCGCCGGCCTAAATTACATTACAGCTGTTTTCATAAATTCTGGGACACCTAAAAATTTGCTCATTTCCGAAACCCTTTTGATCTCGTTTAAGAATCTCCTAACTTTCGGAAACTATTTCGATATTTCTGCATCAAAGTTCCAAGAACAGCGAAATAGTTCCGAAAAGTTAGGTGATTCTAAATATGAGATCGAAGGGGCAAATTTTTAGGTGTCCAGAATTTATGAAAACAGCTGTAATGCAGGCCAGTTTTATGAAATTTTTGCGAAAGGTAGGTTCATAGTGCTTTTTTAGACCCTCATCTCTACATTAAGTCCTTGGCATTAAGTCCTTGGACAGTAAAAGATTAATGCATATCATTGTGTATACTAAGTCCATCGTATAAATGTTACATACTGATAAAAAACATGATTATGAATTTTACAAATTTTCTTGATATCTGATATCTAATAATGCTAATCAAAAACGTAGCTATTGACTTTTGATTAAAAATTGAATGTTCTTCACTACAGATATTCACGGAAAAAATGTATGATTCGCACTATGCTGAAAATATGAGTTTAGAGACAATTTGGAATAAAATCTTTAATATAGTATTCTCTTATATTCCTCTGACAAAGATATATGGTAATATAGCATGTATAACTCTATTTCAAATATTTGAGAAAAATAAAAATATTGGAAAATTCTATTTTGACCCGGGTCAAAATGACCCCCTCCTAGAATTTAGGGTTGGTGCGGGGCAGAATTATGTTAACGCCGGCCGGATTTTTATATTAAAAAACCTTGGCCGGCATCAGCATAATTCTGGCCTGCACTAACCCTAAAATTTTGCTGAGGGATATTTTGACCCGGGTCAAAATAGAATTTCCTTAAATATTTACACATACATATATATCTGATGCTTTTTAAGCTAATTCAACGGGTAAAACACTCAAATTTTGCAATATTCAATTCGCAAAAAATAAATTCATGTATCTAATTCACAATTCTAAAAAAAAATATTCGGCAGAAATGTATGGGTTAATGTTTTTTTTTTTGTCAAATTTTCCTGAGACTAAAGTTTTTTGTCATAACATATTTAGTTTCAAACTGTTTATTATATAATTTAGTTCGATAAATTGTGCTTTATTGTATTATCTTTATTGGCAGTAAACTTGAATGAAATGATTTGTAAAATGAATGCAAACGATATACAATATTACAATAACGCATCCATAAATGTACTCTCTATAAGTGAATACCTTTTCTATATACATTATCTGGTTCCAATTCTGAGATTTAGTGCTAAGTATGCATTTTTTATTTTATACATGCAAAATGATTCTGAGCCCCAAATACCTTCTATGAGTGCACGCGTGATATCTACATTCTATATAAAAACGGCTAACAAAAGATTTAAATTCTGATTATACGAACACATTCTCTAAGTGCATATGTATACCTGTTCTAAAGGCGCGTACTTATAGAGGTATGACTGTATTTACATAAGTAGTTTATAGTATATATTTTGTTACATTTTTAAAAATGAAATGAAATAAACAAAATAAATGAAAAATGGTTTAATCTAAGTATATGAAACTACAGTCATCTAAAGCCAAAATATTATGGTATAGTACTAAGAGGTACGTCTGCTGGTTCTGTAGGTTTATTATTGCGTGAATTTGATACCGCAAATAATTAGTCAACCAGGCCAGTTAGTAAAATTACAGTACTCAACACCAGACTCAAAAACGGTATTATAGAGAATCCTGGAGTATTCACTTTATATAGTTAATATATATATTTTTTAAAAATTTTAGATTTATACATAATCATTTAAGATTCTAATTACCTGGATAATAAATTGAGAAACATCCTCAATAAATAAGTTAACAGCACTCAAAATAAATTAAAGCTCTTTTTGTATGATCATCAAATCCACATTCAAATAATATACATCTGCAAAAATCCGAGTGAATTAATTGCAATTCTTGAATATCAATGGCAGAAAGCACGGTAACGGCACTAACAAATTTACGATGTTCACCGAACCATCTTCTGAAATTTCGATTTTTTCTATCTTGTTTGAGCATTATCACAATTCCTGCTATAAAGCTAACTTCAGGCATGACAAAGAACACCATGCCATTGGAACAAATAGTATTAAAGTTTCTAATCAATTATAATTTATAATAAGTTTACATGTATTAGATACATCCCTGTAAGAAAAGTGGTACATGTGCCATTACGGGTTTACGCGTGAATTTTGGACCGCAAATGGACCGGATTTTGCAGCAGTTTACTAAGCCAAATCCACGTATTTTGACACGTTCACTAAAATAACGGAAAGGCACGGGATAGTGCACCGTGATTGACACGTGAGGTACGGGATGGTTTCTTTTCACCGTGTCATTTTTGGCACGTTTACCTATAAATTTTGAACAGTAAATGGACCGGAGTTTACTAAACCAAAATCCACGGATTTTGGCACGTTTTTCTACGGAAATTGCAGTGAAGGAACGGTTTGTGGACCGTGATTTGCACGTTAAATGTTTTGTGGAGGTACGTAATTGTTGTTTTTCCCGTGCCATACTACGTGCCACTTTTTCTTACAGGTCATACGTAGGGATAAATAAATTATTTAAATCGCGAGAGTTATTAATAAGAAATACTGTGTCCAAAATAAAATCATAGACCATTAATGAAAAACCAAGAATAACACAATTATTTGCTAATGGATTTGCCAAATATCCAATAAAATACAATAAGATAGCAATTAATATTAAGGCGCTGACTATTATCAAAATAATTTCTTCTTGTTTTACAAAAGTTACTATATTAACAGAAATAGAAAATTAGAAATTTTAGATAAATCATTATATAACTTATGCAAATTTCGCAACTACAATAAAATTACCACTTTTCTTATAAATAATTAAAATGGAACTTTATGCATCATAAATTTATAATTTTTTTAAAAAAATTTATTTCATGCATAATATAAGAGTTTTTATTTTACCTTTCTTTTTTGCCAATTAAAATTAACTGTACTTTAAAATCAATTGGTTTTTTAAATACTCGCTTGTTAAAACAATTGGTTCTAAACATTTTTATATCGTTTTTTATGATTTTCTTAGTAAAATGAATTTAATATAAAAAAATTATTATTGTTTTTTTGGGCCTGGTCAAAATCATCGAGGGTAGAGTCGCCACCAAAAAAAGTTTCAAGTAAAAATTCGTGTTTTAGATTAGGATCTGGATTTGCCATTAGATTGGTATCTAAAGATGTTTTCTCTATAAGAATTTTGCAAGGAAAATTTTAATTAATGCGCAGAAGGCAGTTTCATAAACTAAATTTTGTGTTGTAAGTGATTTTTGAAAAAACGAACGTTTATTTTGAGGGAAATTCTATTTTCACCCGGGTTAAAGTCACCCGATATATAATTTCCATTATATTATATCATACAAATGAATTTTAATGATACTATATGGATTTATATTATATAGTATAATAAAGATTATTTATCGGGTGACTTTAACCCGGGTGAAAATAGAATTTCTCTTATTTTGAATTTTCATGATCGCGTTACGTTAACCTGATCTCGAGATTTGATTGGCCACAAAACTTTTTAGGGTAGTGATTTTACCCCGGTTGTCAAAATCCGACCGGGGTAAAATCGCCACCCAAAAAAGTTTCGAAAATCATGTGATATTGTCAATTCATCATGATTAGGATCAT